CAGCTGGAATTGATATACATCCTCAAACGCTATCGATATATATGCTGACAGACACGGCTTTGGGTCATATTCCCCAGCATCTCTACCAATGCTGAAACCCAAGCAAATCGAAAAAAGACTTGCTTGGGCCAAAGAAAAGGTTAATTGGACAGCTGAACAATGGCAGAATGTCATTTGGTCCGATGAATCTAAATTCAACGTTAATGGCAGCGATGGAAGGGTCCGAGTGATTTAAAAAGAAGGCGAAAGGTTCTCTCCAAACCATGTTCAAAAGACTGTGAAGTTTGGGAATGGTTCAGTGATGATTTGGGGTTGTTTCTGAGCTGGGGGTTTGGGTCCTATTGTAACCATGAAAGGGAGAATCAATCAAGACGCTTTTGTTAATTAATTCTTTGTCCAACCACTTCCTCCCATTGTTGCAGGAATTGAGTCTTGAACATTCCAAGGAATTTATATTCCAAGAAGACGGTGCCTCTTGCCATAATATTGGGAAGTATGCAACCTGGTATACAGTAAGCTCAAATCTTATACGATTATATTGATATTTCACTAAAGTTTTTTCAATCAAAAAATATTTCAAAACTTGAATTTAATTTCTGAGACCAAAAAGTAAAAAAGGACGGTGACTTATCTTTACCCACGGTATATTTTAAATCTACTATTTCTGTATGAATACATTACATCTTCTTGCGAATACTAGATATATTTATTTTGCTATTCCAAGATTGAATGACGATTTAAACTAGTGTATGTTTTGAAGGTATTTATAGTTATTTGACAGTGCCGCAGCAATAGGACCATGATCTAGGATGAGGGATAATTGTGTACACCTTGAACCAATCCCTAGGAGCTTGGTGGATAAGAGTTTCCGAGTCACCAGTAAGACAAGAGCATAGATCCGTATAAAGGATAGAATGTTGTTCCTAGTAGCTTTGATGGGAAAACATTCATCAGGATTTAACACTGACCTCAAGAACCAAATGCAATAAAATTGGGATCAATTTTATGTGAAAATAAAAAAAATAAAAAAAATAAAGCCAGAGAAATACAATTATAGTCTTTCCACCTTTATTTTCGATTAAAAGAAAATTGAAGAAAAGATACATGATCTTTAAGAGAGCTTGTATTTATACTACTTGTAAAATTGCCTCGCTACAGTGAGAATGCTTATTTTACAGTTTATTTGAAGAATGACTTTTGTTGACATTCTCTCACTTGTATTCACCATGGCGAAAAAAAATGATAAATCTTGATCATTTTTGACGAATTTGTCAGTGTATTGATTGTTTTGTCAATAATGACAAATTTAAGCAGAAGAAAATTAACCTTTGATCGTTTTGTGTCAATTTGTTTTTTTTTTCCACTTGATTTAATTTTTTGGACCTGTTTTTTAAATAAAAAATAGCTGTAAAATATCTAAAATATTTCAAAATCATTGAAGACACAAATTCACTGATAAATCAATCATCAATGATTGAATTTTTGAATCTATTATCAATGAGCTCTATTTTTTTAAGTTTAGAAATGCCTTTATAAATAAATTAAACGTCT